AAACAAAAAATAATAATTTTTCGCATCATAATTTCTCCATTATATATCCTTTTTCTTTAATCAACATTTACATAGTCTCCCAAGCGAAGAATAAAAAGTTTTACATCCCACTTGTTAAAACTGTTAAAGTATGAAAAAATCTACAAATATCACGCATTTTTTTCGGATCTAAATAATAACTTAATAATTTTAATAAAACATTATTTTTGTTTACGATTTGAATAATGCATTTTTTTGTAACGCAAAAATGCAACACAAATATATTATGAAATTTGAAATAAATATTTAAAATAATATTTAACATTAATATATCGAAGATTTCTTTTTTGAAATGCCAAAATTTCCAATTTATCAGAGGTCAGCCTGCGGCGATGTAAATTGTCGATATCACCAGCTTCACTAAAAACAGATTCTGAAGAGATTATTGTACACCTTTATAAATAGAATGCGCAAAAAAATAACAATATGGCAGAATGTTTATTAATTAATTATTATTATTTAAATAAATATACATAAAAATGGATTTCGATTTTATTTATAAAAATAAATTTTTAGATATAACTTTTTTTAAAAAATTTATAAAATTTTATTTTTGTTAAAGACGCCATTTTATATCGGATCGGATCGGCAAATTTTATAATATTGGCTGATAACCGATATTTTAAAATGGGTAAAATATCGGCCCGATCTAATCCGATAAAAAATATCGGTACATCCCTAATTATAATATTGGTTATTTTTTAAGAGCTCAGGCGCGTAGCCAGTGGGGGGGGGGAAAATCACCCATCCCATAGCAAGAATTTTTGAAAAATTATAAAAGAACTTTATGAATTGTGAATTTCAAGCATTCTATTTCAAAAATTATATGTTCTATTCTAAATATTAGCAAAAAGTTAAAATTAATTTAAATGATTTCTTATATATTAATATTTTATCTCAAAAAATTTAAAATGTATTTTCCTACATTTTTTAAACTATAAACACTGATGGATATAAGAAAATATTATCAACCAAAAAAACTGTTATTTATCCCTACTAATAATTATGATTAGAAAATTTCTAGAGTATATATTCAAATATCCGATTAGACAGGATTTGTTAAATATAATTACTTGTGCTATATGAAAAAGGAAACTGCAAAAAGCCTGCAAACATCAAGCAGTTACAGCATTTTTTGGATATGAAAAGCCTATTTTGTATGCCCGTGGAAATATCAGAATCACCTGAAACACATATTTAATCTGAAGCTGGTACATTATTAGATTTAATGTGACTGACTATTTTTTCATTGGAATGTATTAATAAAATATTTATTATACCACAATTTATGCAATATTTTTCAAAGAAATAGAATTTGTCTGAAATTAGTATTACAACTTCGAAAACCAAAATAATATCGACCAAGAATTTCTCAGATTTATGTGATTTTTGAAAGTGAAATTATATAATTTTGAGATTCATAAGCCTCGACTTTCATCGACAAAGAAATCGTTCCAATATTAATTTAGACTCAATTATGGATCATTATAAAATAACCGTTTTTATTCCACTTTTTAATTTTGACTCATATCAATGAATGTGATTTATCAAATGGCTCTATATAATTTATAAATACTATATCCCATAACTCCCTCTGATCTGTCAAATCTTGATTGAAAAATTAAATATTTAGCTAAATTTTATTTAGAGGATATAAATGTATCTGAAGGCCAATTAATTTCAGAATTTAAATGTTATGAAAGATTCATTTTTGTAGATAATCCTCCAAGAAATACAGTAAAAGCATTGCATACACTAAAATATATTTTATAAGTTTTCCAAATATAATAAATTTACTGTATATTTTGGCAGTGATACCAATTAGTAAAAGCATAAATGAAAGGACCTTTTCTTCATTACAGAGAATAAAAACTATATAAAAAGTATAAATCTTATAATTGATTGAATATAGCTTTACTCATCGAAATTTAGTCCGTAACACAAAAAATAAATAAAAATTTGGCGCAATGGCAAAATTAAATTATTATTTATGAACGATATTTTGACTAACCTTTTAAATCATTATAAAAAATCTTATATTTTATTGTGATTTACATACCGGTTTATATAGTTTTAATATTTTTTAATCGTAATATATTCGCTCTTAATATTTTGTATTTTCCAATATTTTATTATTTATGTTCAAAAATATCATATTTTTAAATATGATTAGTAAGACTGATTCTGATGGAACACTAGGAAATGCCAAATGCTAACTATTTGTCAAAATTCGAAACTTTTGAGCATTAACCAACCAATAATCAAGAGAATTGATCTGAGATAAAATATCGATACCTTAGTTCCCTTCTTTGCACAGGTGGAAAAAATCTCTCGAGTGAATAGGTGGGGTACCCTAAGACCTTAATTTAGAAACTGTATATTAAAATCAAATTAATTTGTAGTCTTCATATTTTATAAATATATTAGATAAACTATAGGTTAATGATTTTAACTATTATAATAGTTTGATTTTATTCTATCATTATATGACAGATTTTGTAAGGGAGTCAAAAAAGTGACAAATTATTTTAAAATTTCATAATGTGATATAAAAAAATATATAAATAAAATTGAAGATGTAGAAATGTTTATCTAAGGTTCAAATATTAATATAATATAACTTTTAATTAATAAAAATGATATATAAAAAAGTGTTTATTTATGCTTAATATATCAATGCTAAAACATGGGAAAAAGTTACATGGATCAACAGGTGGGATCTATATGACCCTAAACTAAAACATCCTTATAACTTTTAACTGCTGAAAAATCAAAGTTAATTTTGCATAAATATACAAGAATATTGAGCCACTAAAAGATTTAAGCAGAAATATTGAAAGAATTTTAAGTAATAACGTTTTTAAAATGACTGGGGTCTGCATAATCCCATCTGTGCAATGAAGGGTTAATTAATGAAATTTAAATTAGTCTGATTATAATTTATTATAAGTTCTTTTTTAATAAAAACAATGGTATAAACAATAGATAAATACACAAAATTTTGGGTTATTTTATTTTATACTAATTTTTAAAAAACATTAAACATTCTTATTTTATAAGTGGCCCCTTTCTTCACACTTTTTGTCTAGTCTTCTACAAATAAATAAAATGTAATATTTTTTTAATTGCAAAGAAAATATTTGTGCCTTGTTTCTTGTAAAATATATCAATTTTATTTCACAAAATTGATCATATTAATTTATAATTAAGCCTGGCCTGAATTTTTTAAACAAATATTAGACCCTACCCAGCTTTAACCAAATTTAAAAAAATACTCTTGTAGATCTCTACCAACTATATTTTTTTAAATTTTTTTTTAGATTGTGGAGTTGTCTGAGCCAGTTCCGTTAAATTTTACTAATCAACTTATACTGATAAATACTAGTTATCTGCTTATAGCCCTGCATTATAAAATATAATATATAAAAGATAATAAAATTAATTTAAATTTGGACACAGTTTTTTTTATGTTTATCAATCAATAAAGATAATTCCCTTTTTTTTTGCTTTGAGAAGAAGCTTTATGTAAAATATTCTATTTAAAAAATTATTAATACTGGAGGGGAAAAAATATTCACCAAAAATTTTGAGCAAAAAATCTTAGATAATTTTTTTAAAGAAGATGATTTTTTTTGCATAATAAAAGATTTGTATGGGTTTTTTAATATTGTTTTTAAACCCTGTCGGAATTTTTAAATTCCGATCAATTTATGCCTGACCCGGATTTTAAAAATGTTATTTTTAAATAATTTTGGCATTAGAGATCTGCAAAATCGATTTCTTTTTGTTTCAAGCCCGCTTACGGCTGGATGGCAGGAATTTTTTAGATCTAGGCCTGGCATGGCACATGACACGAATTTTTGTAAAATAATATGTAGTAAAAATCTCAAACTGAAAAAATTAATTTTATTCTCTATTTTTGTAATTTCCATGCATAAAAAATCATTCAAGATGAAATCACAAATTTTTTTTCAAACTGTTCTATTTTAACGTTGATTGATTTAAAAAAAAAATAAGAAAATATTAATTGAATATGAAAAATATAAGTTCGTCGATTTTCTCTTATCAAGTGATTAATTAGAACAATATCTCAGTCAAACTATTCAGAATTTTAAATCGGGCGATGAATAGCTGTCGGCTATTCCACTCAAAAATCTAATTGTTCTTTATCATAAGATTTCAAGACACCGTCCTTTACATTACAGATGTTCCAAAGACCGCCTCCAAGGGCATACAAACATATGAATTACTTATTCTTAAAAGGGCTATGTCTAAAAATTATTATCAACATTTCCTAATAAACATATATGTTGTAAAATATCTATAAATTATTAATATTAAATAATTCAATTTTTAGGCTATTTAGACCTAATAATTTATAGATATTTTACAACATATATGTTTATTAGGTAATGTTGATAATATTTTTAGGATTCAAATTATTAATATTATAAATAATTCAATTTTTAGACTATTTTAACAAAAAATATATAAAAAATCCCCGTTTTTTAAGATATTAAAAATTACAAAATTAATAAAATAGGAGAAATAATTCCCTATAAATATATCCACGAAATAAAAATCCTCAAATAAAATATTTAAAAATTTTGAGAAAATCAATTCTGGGGAATTATTTTTTAAGAATTATTATTGTGGATCTTTTTTTCCGGGGAATAATTTTCAATTTTAAATCGATCATAATTTTTTGCTCCAAATATTGTGCATTTCTATTTTTTTCTTGAATATTCAAAAAGAAATTTGGTCCGAGTATTGATACAATCAATAATTATATATTCTTTTTCCGGTTTATATTACCCATATTTTTTAAATTTTTAATAGAATCATATAATAAATTCTATGATCGTAATTTTCTATAAAAGGAAAAGGCAATTTATTTTTTGTCACTTTAATAGTTTCGCTAATTTGTGAAGAATTTTAAAATTATAAATAAAAATAAATAGGTTTATGATTTGGCTTTAAAGGGAACCTTTTTATGTTCCGTAGATTTCCCCAGCCCTCTCACCAAACTCGCTTCCGGGTCTTCAGAAACACAATTATTCTTCGGTTCACTCGTGGGAGACATATATAGAGTTGATTTCACTTGCGTGGTAAAAAAAATACGTTATTTATAATTATCGGAAATTTGCAGATAACAGGCCGGGTCTAGGTTTTTATACGAATTTTTATTTATTTTACGTGATTTATAGACTTCTAAAGAAGACTTTGCGAAAGATGGTTTGGTATATAAAGGACACAAGTAAATCACGTCTACATTTTTTAAATTATATTTACGAATTAGGCTTTGTAAAATAAACTTTGCGAACTATTTTTCGTATTTAATCATACATAATAGGTTAAAGACTATGCCAATACAAAGCATTTGAGAAATTGAGCTGTAATGTTACATTTCCTTTCTGTTCTTCCTTTTGTCTGTTTGAATATCACAATTGTAAATTGAATTTTAAAATAAATCAGGAAGTGAGAAATATTTCATATCATATTTTGTAATAAAAATAGATAAATACATTAAATTATCAAAGTTTTTGCTTGAATATTTTGATTTAATGCATAACATTTAAATTAGAGAATAAAATAAATATTTTGAGATATATTTCCTAATTACGGGCTCGTTAAAGTATCAATATTTATCGAATTAAAATGTAAACTAGTATGCAGTCGATATAATTTAAATGTCCAAATTTTTGAAAACGATCTTTTCCACCACTCAATTTTTGGCTTACTATCTTTTAACACTTGTGAAACATTGAGTATTGCCTTAGCCCCCAAAAATGATATTTAAAATGTTTGAAATGCTGCACTTTAAGTTTAAAATAGATTTTTCCGACATTTAGAATCTCATATAATTTTTCTTTAAATAGTTCCAAGATTATAGGATTAGAAACGCTATCTCATAAATTTCAATTGATATCAGCCTGCGAAGCGGGACTCATCAAAACGTGGAACTTTTTATCCTTTCAGTGCTTGAAAACATTAGATACCAAAAGTAATGTTAAATTTATTTTAAAAAGAAATATGTATGCCAATAATTGTTTATTCGCTTGAAATGTGGCAGTATTTAATGGATTCATTTCGGAAATGACAACCATGCATTTCATTTGGGAGGGAGTTACCTGGCTGAATCGAGTCTTAGCCGCAAATCAGGTCGGGGTTGAAAGCGAAACAATTCCCTCCTTCTTGCGCAGACTTTATGAGCCGTACAAGTCTACCCATCAGGTGAGCATAACGGGTCTGGTCTGCTTAATTTTAATTGTAAAATTTTATAATTGAATTGATATTAAGATACTTTTATAATTATTGCTGTTATATGCAGTGGCGTAGCTAGGAATTTTCCTTAGAGGGGGTCCATACATATAAAAACCTGCGGGGGGGGCGCCTTTGGCCTGTTTATCTTACAAATCATAACCATATCTTCGATAATATATAATAAATATATTTTTTAAATGCATCATTATGTTATTATAAATTAGTAGATTATTCTCAATGACTTTATAATAGTACTTACCAGAATAATTTATATTGTAATATAATATCCTCCCACAAACATCAAAACCAGAAAAATATAAATATTGATGGTATTTATTTAATATAAAGTCACTTTTAAATCTTTTAAACATATAATCTAAAAATAAATTTTTGCTCTGGGAGGGGTCCAAACCCGAAAACCACCCCCGTATCTACGCCACTGGTTATATGATTCATTCATTTAAATGTATATCAAATCAATAACGCCACGTTGATTTCCCATGTGAATAATTTATATTAAATTTTTTCTTATAAAATTCTTCTATAGAAAACCAAGAAGGGTTGTAACATCATTTGACTTGTATTCAGCGACAACACTTCAAAAAGTATTTTAATCAGTTTCGGTAAGTATTATATGTTATCAGATGCTGATGACGATTAATTCTGGTCTATACATTATTAATATAATCAAACTTAAAAATAACAATTGTATATTTATTATAAATTATGTACTCAGAATCAGAATGTATTAAAATTATTATAAAATATTAAATATTTTAATAGCTCATCCCAGCATGCATTTTTCACTTTGCGTTTAAAACGATGATGTAATGTAAATCAGGCGCGTACACAGGAATTTGGTCTGGGGGGGGGGGGGATAATAAATTTTTTAAAGAAATATTATTGTTATTTAAAAATATCAAGCATAAATTTATTAGGACTAATAACTATTAAATTATATGAATTATAAAAAAATTATATATATAAACCGGCACATAAAAAACTATAAAATAAATGTGAATTAAAAAATATAAAGTGAATATAACCACCATATCAGTGGCGTATCCAGAATTTTCTTATAGGGGGGGGGGGGGTTTGGGGGCTTCGTCTCCAAACCCCTTTTACATGGCCTTCGGCCAGCTTTACCCCCTCCTTCGGCCGGGTCTTATGTTTTAGCTATTCTATTAAATTTTTTATAATTTGATAATAATTATATTTCTATTTTTAACTATTATTTACTAATTCGTGCTTATGGATATTACAAGCCTATTTTTTATTATTTCAAGTTAGGCATAATATATTTAATAAAGTTTTTTTAAATATAAAGTTGAAATAAAGTGTTATGTCATTTTTTTTATAAAATTTGCTTTAAAAACTAGCCTCAGCTTATATTCTCATACAATATAAGTAGAACATAACTTTTTTATTGAAAATACTAATAGTAGTGTGTATAAAATATTGACTAGAAAATAATTAAATTAACAAGTTTTTTTTAACTTCTTTTCAAATACAATATTATACAAAATATTTTCTATAATTATAATGTGATTTTTAATTTTCGTGGGAATGTTGCCAATTCATCAAGAATTTCGTTGTCGTTGGAATCAAATCTCTATGGATATTTAACAGAGCTAACCCATTTAGCCGAGATTCAGTACTTCGTAAATATGTTTTCAACCTTCTCAAGTTGGAAAAAGTTCTTTCATTCGTACATATTGTAATAGGCAAACATACAAGAATATAAACAACTTCAAGATATTAGGAAATTGAGCCAAGGTTTCTTTACACCGATTGAGCGCATCAATAGCATGCTCAGGTAAAATAGTTAAACGTAGTAAATATTTATACCACAATTCGAATTCACTGATTAAATTTATTTCAGTATCAATCTCATAGGAATAAAATTTTGCTAAATATTTAATTTTACCAATAGTGGCATTAGAAAACGAAGAAGGATCTTTGGGTAATAAAACTTGAAGATTGCAAAAGACTTGTTTTTTATCTAAAAACCATACTTTTATTTGCGATAAAAAAGTATCTAAGAATGGGATGAAAATGGATATTTTATAATATTCTTCAGTTGAACCAATATTTATTTTCATCTCAATAATGGCCTAACATTCATTCTTATTGTATCTACCTGTTCATGTATATTTTCCGCCAAATCAATAACCTGAACCAAATCTAAATTTGGTTTTTGTAAATTTCTACAAAGTAGTGAGCTAAAAATAATTTATTGATGCAACTAGCAGCAATGATAAACTCTGATTGATCAATTGAATTCAATAATGATATCGCTTCTGACGACACATTACTTTTTTTCATGCTTAGCCTTATTTAACTTTTGTATTTTTTCTATTTCTTCTGTTCTACTAAATGGAAGTAAAAATGAAAAATATTTAAAAAATTATAGATATATATTAATAATTAAAATATTATTAAAAATACTTATTAATTCTAACTCACTACTAATTTTGAATTTAATAAAATAAATATATATAATAATAAAATAAATTATCGTTTGATTTCAATCTCTTTGACTAAATATTTTTCCATTTTATTAATATTTTTGAATAATATGTTGGAAAATTGATATTCAAATATTTGTAAAATTTTGATTGGGGGGTGGGGGGGGGGGGTAAAATTTTTATTAGCTTAAAATGATATTTATAAAAATTTGCGACGGGAGGGATTTCCCCCTTCCCCCCCATTGGTTACGCGCCTACACCATATGAATCACTTAAATGACCCAAAATAGAAATTTGAATTTTTTGAGCTTTTAAAATTTATAAATAAAGTATAAAAAATTTAAATGTTGGAAATATTAATACACAAAAAGTTTCTTAGGAATAATTGTATTTTATATTATATTTACAATGTAAAAAATCTTCGTTGGGATTGAGCAAATTTTTCAATTACTCATCCTTGCTTGGCGTCAAATGCCTATAAATATTTAAAAGATCCAAATCTTTCAATCCACTTTCAGAAGTTGTACTTCTTAGATATGTTTTTCAGAAAACTTTAGGCCCGGTTCCCGGGCCGGATCGTATTTTAATTTTTTAAATATACTCGGGCCGGGCCCGAAATTTTTTTTTAAAAAAACATCCCAGCCGGACCCGAAATTGCCCGAAATTTTTTTTAAAAAACACCCGGGCCGGGCGTGAATTTTTTTTTAAAAAATTATCCGGTTCCGGCTTTATATTTTAAAACCAAATATTTGAAATTAACTATAAAAATAAATATAATTTATTTTAAAATATCCGGGCCGGGCCTGAAAATTTTATTTTAAAAAAAGCCTGTTCAAGTCTGAAAATTTCTTTTTAAACCCGGTGTAACGTGTGAAAATGATCTGTGAGATTTCGAAATCTCACACCATCAAAATCCCACGGATGGGTTGTGAGATTTTGATTTAAATGGCCCCCAATGTTTTTGAAGCGATAAATTAAAAGTAAAAGTTTTCATGACAAGTATTTAAAATTACTAATATTATAATATAGTGACAATAATTATATACCCCTAACTGTCTAATTATAATCTTTGATTGCTTTGCAAGATATATTTGTTTCATTTCAAGTGTTCAATTTGTATTTTTAGATTAATAAGTCGAATACTGGGATATATCAAATAAATAAACACCATTAAGCAATAAAGTAAAGGATTTATATAATTTCTATTTTTAATATATATAAATTAAATTGCATATAATTGAATAGTCGATTATTTATAATTATATACAAATAAACTTGAATATTATAATTATGTAGATTAGTCTTATTGGTTATATGTTACACTACCTACCTACAAAATCTTGGTTCGAATCCCCGTACATACTTTTTTTTTTAAATTGAAAATCTGATTGTTTTGTTCTTTTTATTTTTCACAAAATTCGGCATATCTTATAACCCTATGCTGCCTATCTAGTCTGTATTTCATACCAAAGAGTGGGGGTGATATGGTTGATTATTTTAGGCTATGTGGGTTGCCTTGGCAATATATGAATATTATTTAATTTATTATTTGTAAAGGAAGTAAAAATATCTTTACTAATATTATAATTTACACAATATGAAATTTATATAATATAAAACAAATTTAAGTTTAAATAGGTCCAAAACTGAAGACTACAATCATAACTATCCAGATTTGACCTTTCCTCAGATTTCCTATATCAATATTAATTTATGATACCTCCCTTTTCTACCCTACCCTCTAAAAATCATTACCTACCCTTTTTAAATAATGCAAAGAAATGGTAAGATAAATTCTTAACTTAATCATAATGCTTATTTTGTTTACCTAATATAATATTTTTTTTAAAAATCCATCTCTATATTTTATACTTATATTTGAATTGGGTCACACAAACTAATAAGCAAATAGACGAAGAACTTTATTGATATAACTATTTATCATATAATGCACATTATAATATATATATAGAATTTTATTTATAAACTACAACTTTCATAAAAAAAATATATCAGCTGAATATAAATTATAATATGAATGAAATATATATATTTTTATAATAAAAATTATTTGATCCTAATAAGGAAATATTAAATAATGACTAGATGGATGATAAATTATTGCAGAAATATATATTATGAGGAATATAAATTATAATATTGAAGTATTTATATTTTTATAATAAAAATTATTTAAAACTTATAAAGATGTATTAAATAATGATTAGAGCGAAGATAAATGATTGCAATCAAAAATATTTTCAAAATGGTTTCCTCCATTTTTTATATAAATAAAATTATTATAAAATTTTTTAATATTATCACGAATATAAAATGGGTCATATCGGGCCCATACAAAGTTATTATTATATTTTAAATATGTAAAAATAGGAGTAAGCATTGTGGCCATAGCCCTGACTTCTGTGTCAGAAGCCCATATCCGTCCTGTTATAACATTATTTACGATATACGTTTTTATATCCATTTTTTTATTTGTGTCATAAATGTAATTCTGAATTACTTTTTCCATCTCAAATGTTAGCATAAATTGTGCCAACCATTGCCTGAGAATAATATGGGAATTTTGAGCCCCTGTGATCTCCACACTAATCGCCTTAAATTTTATAAAGTAGAATAAAATGAAATTTTATAAAGTAGAATAAAAAATTTTATATTTATATGTTCTACCTATAAAAACAATTCCCATCACCTTCAATTTGCCCCAAGATAGTTGGTTCACCAAGTTGTTTACCATAGTCTACATCCCGACAATGTTTGGGAGGCTTTAGAGCATATATTTTGGCATGATATTTTTTCCATGCTTTTGTTGTAGGAAAAAAATATCTAGGGATATTTTCTAATTTATTTATTATCATATTATCATCATCCAATTCTATATACATAATTAATTAAAAAATAAATCAAATACATATCAGAAATAACATTACCTATGAAAGACTTTGGATCTATAAAATCTGTATCAAGTGGAAAATTTTCATCTTTAAAGCCAACATTCTGGGAACCACTGTCAAAAGGAAATGTATTACATATATCTTCACACAGATGTGCTGCTTATAAAAATATTTTTAAAAAATTATCATATCATTCAAAAAATAATTTGAATATATATCAAAAATAACATTACCTATGGGAGACTTTGGATCGATAAAATCTGTATCAAGTGGGAAATTTTCATCTTCAAAGCCAACATTCTAAGAACCACTGTCAATAGGTAATGTATTACATATATCTTCACCCAGATGTGCTATTTAAAAAATTATCATATTCAAAAAATAATTTGAATATATATCAAAAATAACATTACCTACTATGGGAGACTTTGGATCGATAAAATCTGTACGAAGTGGGAAATTTACATCTTCAAGCTGAACATTTAGGGAACCAATATCTAAAGGCAATACATTATAATAAAAACTTAAAATAATTATAATAATATTAAATATTAACCTTTGTATCTAAAAATTTTTTTACTTTATAAAAAAATGTGATTTTGAAAAAATCATTACCATTTTCATCTGAATCTTCATTTTTTCGCACAATAAATTTTTTTAGATTGCGTAGATTGTATTTTGTTTTCAAAATAACATTATTTGTTGTTATTAATTAATATACACCTTGATATACAATAAATAATTTATATAAAATAATTATTTTTTGAAAATTTAAAAAATTCATTTATTTTGGAAAAATTATCACTAAAAATATTTATAAAATATAATATATATTGTTAGTTAAAAACTTACTTCATTACAGGAAATATTCCTTTCTTTTCAAATTAAAATGTATTATATAGAAATATTTTTAATTTGACAGATACATTAAAATCTGACGTTTTAAATTTGAGAAAATCTAATTCATATTGAATTCGTAATGTGAGATTTTAAAAAAATACATGAGATTTTGAAATATTGAATAGCCGTGAGATTCTGAATATTTAAATGGCCCCCAATGTATTTGAAGCGATAAAAATCAAAATCTCATGAAATCACTCTCACACGGTATGAGCCTTGAGATTTTGATGGTGTGAGAATTCGAAATCTCACGGCAATCACTTTCACACGCTACACCGGGCCGGGCCGAAAAAAATTTTGAAAAAAAATCCGGGCCGTGCCCTACAAATGGTACCTCTGCAGGGCTCTGTTATTCTTTTTTAAAAAGAGAATATTCTCTCATTAGTTTACTAATGGGAAGAGTTGCTAATATATATATAATCATTTTAATACATTGGGAATATAATCTAAAATGTGTTTGAAATTATACAAAGCATCCATAGCATTTAGGACTATATTTTAGTTAATCTTTTAAACATAGTTATTCAGCTAATAAGGCATCAAACAAATATTTTTTTTTTATCATTATTTGAAAAAGATTGGGAAGGCTTTTGTTGAAGTAATATCTGCAGATTGGTAAGTGCTGCATGATGAATTAAAAACCATTCATTTATTTGGATTATAGTTTTATAATACTTTTCTACTGATCTTATAATAATGTTTTGACGATGAGCTTGCCTTGCTGCAAGTCGAGGGAGACAAATATTAAACACGTATAGCTTTCCTTTTGACTCAACAATAACATATAAAATTGAAATTCTTCTTCAACATTAGCCCTAATTTCTTTGAGTTCTAATAAAATGCTCTCCGCTTTCTCATCTTAATCAAGTCAATGCCATGTTTTTGAAAAGTATTACATAAAATAGTTGTATAATTAAATAATACATTCTAATGAGGAAAAAAATTCGAAATAAGTATTGAATCAAAATTTTCTTGCTTCTGAGGAAATATTTCTTTCAGGCCATTGTGGTATTTCAGTAATAGCATTAATAATCGGCTCTTCTAACTCCATAAAAGCTGTTACTGCTTGATGGCGGAGACTCCATCTCGTTGGACAAGCTTGCACTTTCTTTCTCCCTGTTGGACAAGGTGTTACAGAAAAATTATTATTTGACTATAAATATGAAAATGGTAGATAAATATTACGTCACTAGAAATTTGAAAATAATAGGTAAATATTACGCCAATGAAAACTTGAAATCTAAATTAATTGGTAAAATAACTTAATAGATAAATGTGATAAATAAATGTAATTAAATATATATTTAATATGAGATAGAAATAAATATTAACAAATGTTAATTAAAATAAACATTAATATTTTTGAAAAATATATCTGGCATCTGCATTTTTTGGCTTGGGGGGAGGGATTTATCCCCCTGCCCCCCCCCCCCGCTGCGTGCGCTAGATAGATAGGAAGCCAAAAATGGTACACGTTTCATTTAACGTTCAATTATTAATTTCTTCCAATTTCACGCGATTATTAATTTTAGGCCTAATATATGATTAAAATTAACAAGATTTTATGTTTTGTAGCCTAATGATGTTTAAGAAAAAAATTAATTGAGCTTTAAATTATTATTTTATTAAAAATAATCAATACGCAAGGAAATTAAAACATTTTTAGAATTACAAAAATATCGAATGAATTTTAAACGAAATGTGAAAGAAGCAAGACCGGACGACTTCTAGCATGAAATACTCTTTAATAAATTATACGAAAAATAGATGTTTAAGAATGCATGTTCAATTAGGTTACATTTTGGGAGTTAATACTTTTTTTTATAAAATAACGAATAATAAAAAGATAACATAATTTATTTCATCAATGGACTTAATATAATTTGAAAGATGCACTTCTACTAGTCTATTGATTAATTATAAATGACAATATAAGTTCACCCTCGACATGTTTATTTATTTAGGCTTTTACATTTCAGGGAATGATTTTAGATTATTGTGACTTTAAAAACATTTTTTTTAATCTTTCTATTTATGTCCTTGTCTGACTTGAACCTCCTGGAATTGTAGGCAACGTTGTTTTGCGAGAATAAAGATTGCAAATCACATTGTAAATAGTTCCATTTATATATTTTTAGAACCCGAAATTATTTGTCATATTCAGGCCAAGGTAATGATAATTAAAACCTCGATTTCGCAGATATAAAAACCGGATAAATAAATATTTTCGCCAAAAAAAATTAAACTTCGAGATTTGGCCAGAATAGAGCTAACCCTTTCTCCCCACCTTTTGATTAAATCTCAAGCCTGAGATAATATTATTTTGATTAAAATCTTGATAGCCGTTTTTTATAAAAATCTAGATCGAGGTTTACTAGCTAAAACCCAATCAATATCACTTCCCCACAATATTTAATCGATTCAATTATATCTGAAAAACATGTATCAAGAATTAAATGAGAAACACATATAATTTTTTTTTAAAAACTCAGTTTTATATTTTTTATTTATATAATTTAAAAAAATAAATATTACTATATAATAAAACTTATTTAAATATTATGATAATAAAAGTAACTAGTTTTACTTTATTATTTCAATAACGCCGTTACGCCTATTGGGGGGGGGGAAGGGGGTAATGACGTTACTTACTCTTCCTATGAAATAAAAAATATATAAATATTTTGGGCATGTGAAACAGGCCTATTTTTTTCGGGACACAAAGAATCTATAAGTTCAAACCTTGTTATGGTGAAAAAATTGTATAATTTTTAAAAAAATTAAATTATATCAATTGATGAGTTAGAAAATCAAATAATTGGGAATTTAATATTCATTTACTTATCATTCAATTTCCCTTTGAAACAATTTGCACAATACAGCCAAAACTTATTCAAAATAATAAAAATAAATTGTGGCCGGGCTAAAAAAAATCAGGATGAGTTTAAAGATTATTTTTATCCACTAAAGTTTTGACTTCTGCTGGTTTCTTGCCTTTAAAAGAAATCCTCATCTATAAATCGTGTCCTGATTCAACTTATTTTTTTATACTTACAGTTTTGAACTGGACACCCTATATTCTGGTCCATAGAAATCTTTTTATATTTTCGATTTTGATATTTAGCCATTTTCAAATTATTTTGGATATTGGTCATCGATTTTGGTATGTTAGTAATGGTTTTAATATTTGGTATCGGCTTATACCATGTTAATATCGGTTTTGGTATTCGATCTTGGTATCGGTGTCGCCTAAAAAGTGGTAATGAGTTTTATCTCATTTTTAACGATTTCTGTTATTTGCTCAAAAAATGTTTATTATTTAATCGGGCGTTTTATTATATTATATATCTATATTTTTTTTTAAAAAAATGATCTCTCCCCGTGTTTGTCATTTACGAAAATCGGAAACGAAGTGACCTTGATCGGTTTTAAGTTGTTCCTAATGGATGACGAGACGACAGAAAAAGGCCTTCAAACTTATTTGCACCCATCTTTCGATAACTCTCGACCCGATACAAAAGAATCTGCGAACGGAGAATTCGACCCTATCATAGCCATACCAGGTCGGAGTTCACCCATATGCGGTCTAAAACCCGAGGATTATTCTGAAACCGACATCATCGGCGGGTTTGAATTCGATCACTTGACTGACAACGCGAACGCCTTGGCTCGCGAAATCGAGGAACTCAAGCGGAAAAACGCTAAGCTTTACCAAATGGCTATGGTAGACCTAACACGTGATTTATGATTATTGTCGATTTTTTCTCATTCATTATTTTTGAATCATCGCGTAAAATATTTTTTTTTACCTGTTATTTTTAATATATCTATCCCTGCACAAATTCCCTAGATAGGTTATTCAAACAACTTGCTTATTATTTTAAATAATTACATACACCATCCTTTTAGCTTGTTATGACTGATCGAAATTATTTTAGTATTTAATATTCTCGGGCGAACGAATTCATTATATGGATGTTTTACATTTTTCGGTTAAAATGCACTTTTTTGTTGTACCTTATTTTTTTAAGGATGTCTATTATTTTTAGTTAGGAGATATTTTATCATTATTATTACTTTATTAAAACCTTAAATTAGTTATACTACATATTTAATCACCACCTCATAAACAAATTTATATTCTATTTTACACACCAACACCATTAAGGAAAACCAAATATTATTTTTTGTCCAAAACACCTGAATAGTATGTATATAATAAAATGGTTAAAAATATATTAAAGATGATCACAGTCCAATATACTTAAGTTCGTTTTTTTACATACCGATTAAAGGTCGCATGGAAAACAGGGACCCGAACCGTTATGTTACGGTTCAGCATATAAAAAATTATAATGGTTACGTTTTGGTTACGGTTCTTAAGAAAAAATTTACAAAGGTTCGGTTCGGTTCAGCTTATTATAAAGGTTCATTACGGTTAAAAATATTTTTTTTATTGAAGCAACACCATCGTCTAATTTATTTTTATTATAAGCATCTATGAATTATATAAAAAAAATATATATAAGATTTAAAATAACTCATTTTTAAATATATTATATGTAATATATTTTCTCATATAAATGGATCATATTTGTTTGTTGTGACGATAACACAAATTTAACCCCGAAAAGGCCCTTTCAACAGAAACTTGTGTTGCGGGAACCATCAGTACTATAAAAGCAAGTTTATATTACTCTGGACATTAAAATTTTTTTGATTCCTAAAATATAAAAACTGAACCGGTTTAACCTTTTTTTTTATAAAGGTTCTTTTTACTCCTTCAAAAAATAATTTTATCGGTTACGGTTCTGATATTTATAACGGTTTATAATGGTTTAACGGTTCGTTACGGTTCACTCCGGGTCTCTAATGGAAAAGATTTTCTGACATGACCACGCCGACTTTGGAGAAATATTCACACTTAAATATTTTGTTAGTAGTTATAATTTGATTCGTGTCTTCTTCATTCTCGTTAAATGTATTGTTTTTTTCGTTATTACTTTGTTTTAATATCAATATATATATATAATTTGATGGCCATGACCATAATTGTTTTACTAATAATTTTGAGTCTTATATGCTAGAATATAATTATATATATATATATATATAATTAAAGTTAATTATAGTATATAAAAAATATATGTATCTTTTAATTTTATACTTCTCTCGGTTAAAAACCAACGAATTTATTGATTACTATATTAATAATTGAGAATTACGCGATAATGGTAGCATAAAATACTAGTATACTGGTTTTTTTAAATATAATATCGGCTGAATATTATAGTGTTCAATATCTACCATTTTGCAAAATAATTTTTTTAAACAAATATTCCTCAGTACTATATTTTTATATACCCACAATAAAAATGCTAAAATATATTAAGCTGAAGATTATGAAAAACGAAGCTAAAAAGTTAATCCTTCCAATGTTAGTTACCATTTAAGGCTACTTCAAACTTTATTACTTATAAAAAAAATAGTATATTATTCAAACCAAATTAGGTAAATGATAAGCACCGCCAAAGGCAATAACCGAATGAATCGATATTTCACAATGTTTGCTTTGATAAAAACTGCCAAAAGTATTTTTTTTAGAATCCGATCTAATATATCATCCTCCAAGGACGGAACCACCAAGTTGGCTTCAGAAAAGAATGATCCTTGCTGGATTCTAACCCAGCGAATTGGCAAACGACTTCCGAAAATTACGATTTTTTAAATATATTGCACTCCATATCAAATCAACTGAAAATTCAACCCGAGCCTCTTCGATTTTTTTAAAATTTGTTTGATGGTAGTATTCCCAACTCGGCTTACTTCATGAAATGTGGCCATCTTTAAAAGCGCGAAAATTCCAAAATAAACTATATTTAATTTAAATATCTCAAAAAGTAATTAAGCTATAAGCATAATTTAAATTTTATTAAATAGCCCTTTAATTAGATATAAAATTTATTTTATTGAAAATAAGTCTATTACTAAAAACCGGAAATGGCTATAAATTAAAAATTGCTTTTTTTTCTTCTAAATTTTTTTACAAATAGACCTTATGTACAAAATCCTAGCCTGAGCCAAAAGTATTACACTTTAAATATAAGTAATATGGCTAAACTCGTTAATAAATATCATTTTTATTAAAATATATATAGTAATTTTTTTAAATAAAAAGAAAATAAAAAAATAGGTGTCAGGACAAATAAAAAAAAATTTGTTTGGTATCGGGCCGAGTTAGAAAAATTACCTATGCAGCACTAGTAGACATTGTTATTTAACATAAGTTTAGCTATTTTATTTTAGAAAGATAATAGTTTTAAAAATTATTTATATTACATAAATATCAATGGGAAATTATTATTATAATAAACATATTAATTAAATAATATCATACTTTAAATAAACTAATGAATTAGAATAAAATTTGACTTCCATTTTTTCTTTCATTGGAATAAATGCATTATATTTTTGTGTCAGGAATTTGTTTGGCCGTTAAAAATCTATTTTCGAGATTGGTTTCCATTCTTAAATATTCAATGTTGCTGACAAATATATAATTAATCACCGGGATATTAGTTCCCGCATAATTATATAAATCCATACATCTTAATAATTCATAAACTATCGCAAGGAGTTGCCACGTGCAGTTGCAAAAAATGCCATTCTGCCTTGATGAAAATTATTGTAATGGTTGTAGAGGTTTATAAAAAATTTTGTTTTATTCGACCTCTATGTGGGGTGAAGAGACTATTGAACTCACTTTTTATTGTCATAGTTGCTACGTTATTACTTTTTAAAAAAATCTTATTATTTATTCCCCTTATAATGCTTCCAAATTAAGGCACTTTGCGTTATATTTAAAATAATACAATACAATTTGGTAAATGTTATCTTTCGTTTTTTTAATTTTTTAGGATTTTAGTTTTAATGCTATTATTCACATAATATTGCCTACTTATATTAAAAATGTGATTACACTTGGTCCAGTATTTGTACTAATCTAGGATTTTGTACATATTAGGAATTATAATGGCTATCTATAAAAGAAAATTTGAAAAAAGAGCAATTTTTATTTTATAGCCATTTCCGGTTTTCAATTTCAGGTTTTTGGTAATAGACTTATTTTTAATAAAATAAATTTTATATCATATTAAAGGACTATTCTAGAGTATTTAATAAAATTTAAATTATGATGTTACCTTAATTACTTTTTGAGATATTTTAAATTAGATATAGCGTATTTTGGAATTTTAGCGTTTCTAAAGATAGACGACATCTCAATAAGTAAACCAATTAGAAAAGTAAAATTTTACATTTTTATTAGTCATGTATATGCAAATTTTTAAAAAATTATCGAAGGGGGTAGGGGTGAGAATCGACTTTGTTGGTTGATTAATTAGGAATACATTTGGCGGTCTCTATTCAAATGAAAAAAACAAAATACTAATTCACTCGGTACTGCATTTGGCAGTATCTATCATAAAACACTAAAACTGTCGATCGAAAAATAAACAAGTTAATTTTACAAAAATAAGAGTTATCAAGCACTATTTTTTTATCTAAAAATTTTACTGGTAAAAAATGGGATTTTAAAAATTTTTTAATTAGCTCAAAATTTTTGCTACAATTTAAATATAAATAGGAATCTTTGGACTATTAAACTTTTTAATTTATTATTGATAAAAATATATATACTATTTATTTATGTTAAAATAATTTTATACGAAGAATATTTTTAATTTTATTTGATTATAATAACTTGTATTTCTATTAATGGATCATATTTTAAAATAATTATATTAGATCTCTTTAAAAAAATGTTTTATAAAAACCATGACAAAAAAATTAATGACTGAGATATAGCAGTTTAAAATATGGGAGTATATTTACCGAATATTATCATTTACGTTTTTAAAACGAAAGGTTTCAAGAGTTTATTAGTAACTACTGCAGAAAATTAAAAAATTTTATAGGAGGAAAAAATAAATATTCAAAGATTCAAATGTGATCCTTCAATAAAAAAAGTCCTCCCTCCTACACTACAATACATCCCTTACTAGGGGACATTTTATAATTCATATTCTCATAACTTCTATAGGGATTAATATGGAAAATGCGTTTTACATTTTAAACGTAAATGTACAGTATTTGGAATATCGACAAAATCTTCTCCCAGTCCCATCCATATTATCTAGTAAATTTAAATAAAGAAGGGAAATAAAATGAGATATAAACCATTTTTTATAGGCCGTAAAAATTCGTTAAAATTTATTATATTTAATGTCCAGAAAGACAGAAAATATAATATTCATTATAATATGTATCTGCATCACCGGGGTGGCCTAAAGGGTTAGATATATGCTAACAGAAAGACGCAGAGGACACAGGTTCAATCCTGGCAAGGAGCATAAAAACTTTCAGGTCTTCGATGACTGATGTGTAAAGACATATGGTAAGATGAATTTCGGAGCTTAGAGATGGCACCCCGGTCACCGACAGGCCTTAACACACGGGTGCCAAGGATACTTGTCCAATAAACAAAATGAAAATATGAAAGCTAGGGCTTTCCCTCCAAACGACGCGCTGGGTGTAGACCTCCATCCTGCGAAAAGTAAAATAAATGTCAAAGCAAAGAAGACAAGATTAGCAAGTTTGAATATTGGGGCACTTAAAGGTAAGACAAGAGAATTGGCATCAATGTTGAACAAGAGAAAAGTTGATATAGCGTGCATACAAGAGACGAAAGGAAATGTCAGAAGACTTTAGTGATTGAAGATGGGTATAAATTGTACTATAATGGAATTGTTAGAAATAGGAACGGTGTTGGCATCATCCTCAGTCAAGATCTAACCTCCTCAGTAGTAGAAGTCAACGATCTCTGATAATGAAGATAAAACTCTGCATTGGTCAATTAATACTACACATCCTTTCAGTATATGCTCCTCAAACTGGTTGCAAGGAAGAAGAGATGCCTTTATGCTATCCTTGATTAAGCTGTAATGGAAATCCCTAAGGATGACCTAGTCATAATAGGTGGTGACATAAATTGTGGGAAAAACAAGAGATAGCTACAAAAGGTATCATGGTGGTTTTGGATACGGAGAAAGGAATGATGAAGGTGTGCATGTACTGAAATTTGCGCAAGCCTTCGACCTTACTTTAACCAACACCTAATATAAAAAAAAAGACAGTCATTTAATAACATATGAAAGTGTTACAAGGAAAACACAGATAGATTACATGCTAATCTCTCGCAGAAGATTAAAAGATGTAATAGACTGCAAAGTCATCCCAGGAGAAGATATGGCCGCGCAACACAAGCTACTGTCATGGATTTACACATCACAAATAAATCCAATCATAACAAGATAAAACTGGAACCATGCATTAAATGGGGTAAAATAAAAACAATGACAGATGCCTTTGCAATCAATGCAAACATTAAGACAATAGATTCCTCACAATTCAGTGAAAAAATGTGGACAAACCTTTCATCTAGATTAATAGACACTACCAAATCAACACTAGGCTTGACAAGGGGAGGTAACAAATCATACAAAGAACTATGGTGGTGGAATGAAGAGGTACAAACCACTATACAGGAGAAAAAGGCCCTTTATAAAATATGGTACAAATCCAAAACCCCAGATGACAAGACAAGATACAAAAAATCCAAGAGAATAGCTACAAACTCGGTGGCTAGGGCCAAATCTATGGCATACGATGACATGCATGAAGAACTACATACCAAAAAAGGGCAAAATAAATTAAACAGATTAGCCAAACAGCGAGAAAAGAATTCTATGGATATAAACGGAGCTCCGAAAGTAATCAAAAATAAAGATGGGAAATTGATAATAAAAGAAAAAGAAATAATGAATAGATGGAAAGAATATTTTCAGGAGCTTCTCAACTTTAATCCCCATATACTACATGTAGACGAACACTCCCCATGTCAAGGATGAAATGAAAGAAAGATTATATCCTAGAAAAGCAAGGACTAAAAGTAAATAGAGAAAAGACGGAGTATATGGTGATAGGAGGAGATGAAATAGAGAGCATTGATATAAATGAATGGATATCGGCAATTGAAAGCTGCAAATATTTGAGCACCACTACAAACAAACGGCACAATAGAGAAAGAGATAAAGAGTAAAATTAATCAATGGTGGTTAAATTGGAGATCTTTATCTGGAGTGCTCTTTGACAAAAGAATCCCACACAAATTGAAGGGAAAAATTTACAGTATAGTTCGGAAACATGGCCAACTAAATAATCAGACGAGAGAAGTCTACATGGAGATGAGAATGCTGAGGATGATTGCTGGGGTAACAAGAAATGATAGGGTGCGAAGTACAAGAATACTAAGTAGTTTAAAGGTTATGTCTATTAAGACTAAGTTAATGGTAAACAGACTTAGGTGGTATGGGCACACAATGAGAAGGCCTATGAACTACATAGGAAATTAGGTTGGGAGTTTGGAAGTGATGGGCAAACGTAAAAGAGGAAGGCCAAAACTTCAATGGGCCCATAAAGTTAGAGCCAATATAAATAAGTATAAATTAGACAAAAGAGATTGTATGATAACATAAAGTGGAGAGAGATGTTGAAGGAGTACCACCAGAAAAGGTAAAAGCTAAGGAAAAAAAATAATAATATGTGTCTGCAAAGGTGCTGTTACAAGCAAATATGAGAATTATTTACTATTAATCTTAAGCTATAAATATTTATTTTATTTAATTTATTATTGATTAGTTAAAAAATATTGAAAATAAAAATCACTTATGACTAATTTTTAAAAAAGATAATATAATTCTAAATATTTACAAAAAATTTATTGGTCCCTCACAAAATATCTTATATATTAAAAATTATCGATCTAAAATTAATAGATTTTTGATTATACAATATGAATTTAATAAATCTATTTTTGAAGATCTTAAGATCATGATAATTATTTTCGAGTAATAAAAATTTAACACGCTTGGAACCTATAGACCCCACGCGACTACTAAACGGTTAATAAATAATTTTGTTAAAAATATAAGGTATTTTTATTATATTATTCATTAACACAAGATACTAATGAAATAAATATAGACGTTTCTTAATATTTTATTAATTAAGTTTTATAAAATTCTGACATTCGAAAGTTTCCAAATTCTTTATTATATTATAAATCATTCATCATTTTTAGATTTCCATGATATTAGAATTTGATTAATTTTATTTTTCTTACTGTATATTTATGTCAAGTTATTAGGCGATTAACTGAAATTTTAGTCAAATCGTATATTGCCAGCACATAAACTTCATGATAGATATTCTACATACACATCACATTTTTGACAAAATCAGATCATTAAAATGCGTTTTAAAAAAATGATTGTGCTATTTGCCAACAGAAAATTTATCTAAGCGCATTTTTAAAATCTTATAATTCATCCCAGTATTTTAAATAACCAGTTAATAGATAACGACGCTTTTCGTTATGCAATCAATTTACGCTTGGGCGTACCTTTTCTAAACCATTATATTTTCATTAAATGCAATCAATCGGCAGACGCGTATGGTAGACACGCTCTCCACCGTAAATTTATATCAAAAATCAGCCGACATGATAAAATTAATGCGATAATAGCTTCTTTTTTAAATAAAGCCAATTTTCCCTGTATTTTAGAACTTACATCCTTTTTAGATAAAAAACGCCCTGACGGCAAAACCGTCGTACCTTTTTTCATGGGAAAGCCTTTAATGTGGGATTTTACCTGCATTGATCCCATGGCCCCATCTAATAATTCCCATGATCCCCTGAACAGAGCCGAATCTCTAAAATATATAAAATACTCACACCTAATGTGTGATAACCATTTTGTTCCTATAGCAGCCACATCAACCTGCTCTTTTGGACAAGCGGCTTTAGATCTATTCAAAACAATATCCAAATCAATAAAAAAATCATACCTTTCTCCATTTTACAAAATCAAGCAGAAAATCGCCGTATCTATAATTAGATCTAATTATCAAATATTTAAAACATCATGGCCCGAACTCGCCATTTGATATTTTTATTTTTTTTTAAATGTTTTTTTTTTAAAAAAATATACATTTGTATCAATCTTTTTTTGTTTTTTAACTTAAAAGGATATATGACATATTTTATTATATTCTCTATATTATAAAGTTAATTTTTAACTAATAATATTTTATAAAAAAATTAACTAATTTTTAGGGAAAAAATATGCTTGAATTAGATCATTAAACCAAGAAGTGAACAAACACCATATTATACATCTAAATGTAAGCTTTTCAAACTTGCTTTATTTAAAAAAAGCTTTATAGATATTATTTAAAACTTAGATTATCATCGAAAACTCATGACCCAGCCATGAGTTTATAATATGAAATTTCGATTCCGAATTCTCACAAATCTATTTTGCATCAAAACTTTTTGGTCTAGATTAAAGGTCAGCAAAGTAACGCCCATCAGCTTTTATTTTAAAAAATTTAACTCGCTCGCCTCCGCCCACTCACATTTTTTTAAATTTACCCGTCCGCTGACGCTCCCAATCTTTAACATTTTTTAGAAAGCCAGACCATACCTGGCCGTAGAATAGGCGGGTAAACTAAAAACACTTATTGCAGACCTCTAGTCTAGATTCCGATCTCTAATTTAAAATGGGGAGAATCGAGCAAATTCATAATTATTTAAATGTTAATCAATCTAAGTATTATTTTTTTAAACTAAGGATTGAATAACTCCTACTAGGATCGAAAATTCTGCCGTGTTTATAGTTGGGTAATGGCTAAAATCAACGAATTTGGTTAAATCTAGAGGTACGTGCCGAAGAATTTTCTAAGCATTGAGACCCGATTAATTTTTTTTAATCCTTTATTCATAGTTGAGATGTATTCACAAATAAAATCAAACACAGTTTAGGATAAGCTGGTTAAAAATAGAGCAATTATCCAACTGTAGTAGTGCATTGTGACACAAGAAAAATATTTCTTGCAATTATGAATGTATTATGGTTCAAATAACGAAAAAGTCATAAAATTCACAAAAAATTTATTTATAAAAAAATCTTAAGTAAAAATTTAATTTCATTCAAACCTCCTTGACTAAAACTGCTTATTAAGATTTTTATCAAAATAATTGATTTATGATTTTTTTTACTTCCTTTATAACATGTCATTTTTTAAGCGCTAGACGGTTAACTAGTATAAAAACGGATCAAATTTAGCAGCCCTAAATAGCTTTCTGGGCCTGTAACCCTTTTATTTAACGGTTCACACCTCGTTGATCTCTAATGACTATATTTAGGTTTGCTCCATTTTAGCTGGCTCAAATAACGGCGAAACCTAGTTGTTAATCGAAAACTATCACCTCGGATTTTTAATTTTTGAAAATATACACTCAACTCGTAAAAAAGCATAATAGCTAGCGCTTCAATGTTTTCTGAATTTAGTACCTGCCTTGAACTCGAGCCGTATTTGCCAACTTTTTTTACCCATTGACTAACTATACAAACTTAACTTACGTTAAAAGTATATTTTAAAAAAAGTAGATTTCTAAATATATTTTTATCGAAAAAAATAAACTTTTAACCAATGGGTTTAATAAAAATTTGCATAAATTAAATTAAAAAAATTCAATTATTTATCCAGGAATTCTATTTTTAAGAGAATTATATTACTAATTATATTTCTGTCGAGCAAAATATTTTAATTTATATGTTAATTATTATTAAATTTTAAGTTTTATTCTTTTTAATTATATCTTGAAAACTAAAAAAAATAGAGATTAATATCTAAGAGTAAAACTTTAAAAAGCATTGTTATATTTTTTAAATAATTAATTTCTTATTTTAGATTTTTTTTTAAAAATTAGTGAAACGAAATGAAAATCTTCATGTTATTGAAATTCTTTTTCTAAGGTAAATATAACTTTTCTGTCAGGGTTCTCTAACGGGGGGGGGGGGCTAGGGCATAATTGCGTTATTCACTTTTTAGGGTTTTTTGGTGAGCATATAGATTCATTGTCAGTATCCATTTTATATTTAGTTAAGAGGCCTGAAAGTCATCGGCTTAAAGAGATTTGGAAGACTCTGGTTATTGAATCGTCAGAAACGGTTTACGGTTCCAACAATAAAAAGTTGGGTTGAGTCCTAGTTTTCAACCCCATTTCAAAAATATTTTTCAAGGGCTGGGTTTTGGGCCTGATTGGAGGGTCTCTATAGCAAAAAATAATTATATTGACACCAACTAACCCTTTTGTTAAATTAAAACGAATAGATCAATACCATGCATATTCATCCCTCCTGCATAGGGGAAGATAAATTTTTATGCAATTCTGGCGTGATAATTAATGAATTAGTAAAATAATGTGTAATATACATTAATAATATACTAGAGTAATTATTAAGTGAAAAAAATTCACAATTAGATAAGAGCAAACTATAGTGGCCTCTAATTGATTAAAAAAAAATTTCGGGTGATCTCATCCGTCAATGTATTCCAGTGGCGTAGCTACGGAGGTGGTTTTCGGGTTTGGACCCCTCCCAGAACAAAAATTTATTTTTAGATTATACGTTCAAAAGACTTATAAGTGGTGACTTTATATCAAATAAATACCAATAATATTTATATTTTTCTGGTTTTGATGTTTGTGGAAGGATATTATATTACTATTGAAATTTTTTGGATAGTATTATTATAAAGTCATTGAGAATAATCTACTAAATTATAAAACAAATTATTAATGCATTTAAAAAATATATTTATTACATATTATCAAAGATATGGTTATGATTTGTAAGATAAACCCGGCCGAAGGCGCAAAAGGGCCGAAGGCCCGTTTAAGGGGTCTGGGGGCGATGCCTCCCAGGCTTTTATATGTATGGACCCCCTCTAAGGAAAATTCCTAGCTACGCCACTGATGTATTCTGTTATCTATGAATGTAGTACACATATTGAAGGGAAAAATTATGAATTAACTAAAAATTGAACCAGCAAGATGTAGGGTCAATATAACTGAAAACTTAAAATTGAAATCGTACGGGTAGAATAAAATTTCAAAATCCCTAACCTAGAGTTTTTAAACTGGTTTCCAAAACCCAGTATCTACAAGAGAGAGAAAAATTCAAGATGGCGTGATATTTACAGCCCTCCCCTCTCCACCGATATCTCCTTCAAAAATGTTTGGAGACTGACCCCTTTAATGTAAACGCTATCGAAATCCAGGGTTAATATTATAATTTGATTTTAAATTCTGTATTAAATTTTTTTTTTCAACACACAATCCAAATTTATATAATGTATAAATAATTTATAAATGTTTTGATATTTTATTTAAGAACTGGTAAACAGTTTAAATAGAAAAGATTTTAATTTAGGGTTAACATATTAAATAAAATTTTATATCAACAAACATTTCATTTATGGAATATTAACAATTAATAATATATACCATTAACCTTATAGTTTGTTCTTCTGATATTTATATATAGGATTTGAATATCTCATCATTCATCAACAAGCTCTTTGTTCTTAGGTAAATACATAATAAATTAGAAATTTATTTACATTTTTTGATTAAAAAAATATGTTTTTCATGTCCTAATGCAGCAAATAAAAAACTTTATAACCTTGGCAAATTCTTGTAAATATCTAATCTAATAAAAACGTCCCCACAAAATTAATTTAATATTTCATTATATACTATAATATAAAAAACTTAGGTGCTCATGCCGTGCTCACGTTGCTCTTGATCGCATAGACTTCCAAGAGTTATGTCTGCATTTGGTATATTTAGCATTGGGTGATAAGTTTAAGCAGTAGCGAAAAACATTTAGCAAAGACTTGAGACATTTTGAAATATAGCATAAAGCTATTCTAACTGTAATACATTGTATATATATTTCAAGGCATTTTTTTTAATATACTCAAAATAGGGACCCGTAAGAAAGGTATTTTGTTCTTCCTCAATTCTAAATTTCGGAACGTTGTGGAGCGAGTTTTTGAAAAATATTATTTTTCGTTTCTATTTTATCGAGAATTTTTTTTATCTATTGGTCTTTATAATTGATTAACACATCTAAATATTCATAAGACATTCTTTAAAGATTATCATTTGCATTTTTATGGTGATATTAATACAAATTTGAAAACCTCTTTCAACACTAAATTAAGAACAATGCTGTTAACGCAACTTTTCCTTTAAATGTAAATATATTTAAAATTTAAATATTTTCTGGAGCTTGTTCTTTTATATCTTTGTTTTGTCTTTTCACAAATAAATATAAAAGTGTTTAACTAAATATAAAAATGTGGTATCTGTATATGGATACTATTTTAGAAGTATCTATATATTTAATTTAGACACTTTTTAGATGCATAATTATTTTACGTTTTTTATATAAAAAATAACCTTTATATAATGGCATTCAGGCAAAATACATACTTGTATATCAAGACTCTGGCCATATTCGATTTCTTATGCCTAAACTTTCTAGTACCAGTTATATATTTCGCATTTTGTCATATCTGCCGCAGATCATGCTTATTTTCGTTATATTCTATAATAATTGGATTCCCTTTAATAGATGTTTTTACGAATTAGTTATGTATTGAGGGCCTTTATATCCTTAGACCGCTTATTGGCATTAGAATTTTCTTTTACTTATAGAAAATTTACTATATAATCCGTTAATTATCAACAACACATTGTCTAAAAATATAGATCTTGATGATAAATATGATAGCCTAAGGAAAACTTTAAATCCATGTGTTAAAAAGAAATATATAATTGAATATACTCATTCACCAAACCCTAAAGCTTTTTGGTTTATTACATATAGAAAATACTTACATTTTATAATGTTTTTTATTCCATTTTTGATAACATCTGTTGCTAACCTTTTTATAATCAAGAAATTTTATAAAACTTTGCATAATAGAATCACTCTAAAACTAAATAACAAGGTTGTTATAAATAATCGGCTAAACATTCATTACAAACCACTTAATTTTACCAGGAGCCATACATAGTAGAACCTATAAGCGGATAATATTACAGAAAATGTAAAGTTAAAAAATAGTTTGCCAGCTACAAGAGATTTTCAGTTTACAATTTTAATGTTAGCTATAAATGTGCTTTTATATTTAGCACTATTCCTATGACACTATATATGTTTTTATATCAACCATGGGTGGATTCTCAACTAAGATATTGTGGTTTCAAACCATAGCCTACTTAAGTAAATACGGAAACAATGTCTTGTCTTGAATGTATATATAACCTTATTTTTTGATCCCACTATGAAAATATTATAGTATATTAGAAATACCTTGTTTCTTTTGCTTTTAAAAATTCATATATGCTTTTAAATATTAATATATATTGATAATTATTTTATTTATTTTTTTAAAGAAATTTATGATTCGTATACCTATAGTTTTGTAAATTATTGTTAATTTAATTCATTTATATACTAAACTAACGCAATATTAATTATTATTTATTTACAGTACATAAACTTCATTTCTGCTCAATTTTTATTCATCTGTCAAATTTTTTTCTTTGTATGAATAACGAATTTTTTCCTGCTAATTAATATATTTCTTTTCTTTTTGAAAAAGTTTATTTTACGTCCTTCGCTTACGCTCTAATCTCTACTTTCATTAGGACACTTGGTTTCCCTTCTCGACACCTTTAGGAAGTAGATACACTGCCCATGGGGGATATTTGGTATTTTTTTGATTTAATGATTGCATTATAAATAGTCCTGCGTATGCGAGTTTTCAAAATATGGAGTTTTCAACTGCATATAACCTCCGCAGCTGAGCACTATACATCTCGATTGCACGTCTGCCCCCGAGTCTGTTTCTATGATACTTTGGTTCATAATCCTTCTTTGTTGTCTCATTTCTATTTACATCTATATGGAATTGACTTTTGGTGATATCCAGAATAATATCCTTTCCTTATTTGTTTTACCTCTTCAGGATATTAGTCATAACCAATGGATCTCTTAGTCGAACGATATTTCTGTTGTAGTTTTTAATATATATTTTAAAAAAGTGAATTGTTTTAACAAATAGATTAATTTCGAAATAGCAGATTGATTATATTTATTACATTAAAAAAATTCTTGAACTTTTTTTATTGGTTTTCTTATCGATTCGTTTTTTTACCTTTATGAAAATTTTATTTCATTATTTTCTTTCTATACTACTTTTTTTTTACCCTTCTCTTTTCAAATATTTTTTTTTTTTATATTAGTGCCTTTTTACTTACTATGTCCTTTTTAATTTTTTTTATTTTATAAATTAACTAATAGCCTTGTATAGTATTCAGTAACGAACACGATGAGTATTAAATATAGTTTGCAACATTTTTATTATCCTGGTTCTGAAATGTTTTGAAAAAAAAAATATCTCATTTCTTATATTCTAGCTCAGTTCCGTTGATTCGGGTTCCAACTCTGTTAAAAACGCTGCTTAAATTTTATCTATTCCAAACTAAAGATATCAAGGTGAAGAAGTTTCCGATTGTTATTTTAGATAGATGATAGCAGAAAATCTAAATGAAGAAAGTGAAGAATACAAGTAGCCTTTGTGCCTTTTCCCTTTACTAAAGTCTTCACTATGGAATAAATGACCGAAATTGCAGACTTTCATATGATTTTTTAAAATGCAATATTTACTATTCTTCCTACTTTACAAAAATGTTTTAATATATATAAAAATCATTATTTTTTTAAAAAATTATAAATATTTAAGGGGAAAAAAATTTAGATAGATGATAGCAGAAAATCTAAATGAAGAAAGTGAAGAATACAAGTAGCCTTTGTGCCTTTTCCCTTTACTAAAGTCTTCACTATGGAATTAATGACCGAAATTGCAGACTTTCATATGATTTTTTAAAATGAAATAT